AGCCCCTGGTGTCTGGTCCTGGTAGATATTTTACTCATGTTGTCACAATTCATTGCCAGAGGAATTAGGAATGCCCCACGTGACTCGAAATGGAGAAGACTCATGTAAGCATGGACCTGGATTCCTGCAGATTTCCCTCCAAGAGTCTGCTGTAATCAATCATGCCATCAGTATAAGTATGTGCTGAGTCTTGTACATCCTGCTACCAAATTACCAAGCATGGGTACCATCATCGGGACTCCCTCACTATGGGGACCGTAAATTTCTTACCACCTTTAGAAATTTGGTAATCCTTCTGATCATTTCATCTCTGCCATTAATTACTACTTTGTCTTACTTGATGGAATAGGCAAAGCATACCATACAACAGATTCTCCTGTTGGTAGAAATTTTAGTACCATTCTTTCAATTTTATCACATGCTATTTTGCCACTAAGTTTTCCTTTTGGTTTATGTGACAATAGTGAATGGAGCAGTCACTTTTTATGAGATTTCAGGAACACTTGCCAATTTGTCACTAGTGGCTAACAGGTGCTGTACTGGGTTTGTTTTGTTATAAGCCTAGCTTCCAAATTATACTTGAAAATTTTAGTTTTTCCCAGTAAATAAAATGTCAAGAGACAGAGAAAAACCCACACTATTTAGTTAACAAAAAATTAAGCTATTCAATTAAATTCATAGACTCTACCTGTTTTATTCTGATACTTTAGCAATTATCTCAGGGTACATTAAGAAACTTACAGAAGGTCCAATTGCACTTTTCACTCATTTGAGTTAAATTACTTAAAATAATGAAAATTGCACCAAGTTATTTAAATCCAAGAAAGATAATCATAATAGTAAAGGATCCATTGTTTCTAAGTTAAAGTATGTCATTTACACATATCATTATTCCCATATTACACATGATTAAACTGGGCTCAGAGTAGTTAGTCACAAAACAACTCATAAAGGTAGTGAGTGTTAATGGAATTTTACTCAGCTACTAAAAGGAGTGAAATCTTGTCATTTGCACGTAATGGATGGAACTGGAGAACATCATCTTAAGCGAAGTTAGCCAGGATCAGAAGGCCAAAAATTGTATGTTCTCCCTCATATGCGGACTTTAGACCTAAAACAAATGCAGGAATATTATTGGACGTGGGTCACATGCTAAGGGTAGAACGCATACATGAGGAATCGAAAAGGTGGGAAACCCAAAACTTGAAAGTGTTTGATGTGCCCACTGTAGAGTAGCTAATGTAGTAATCTTAAACTAACAGGGGCCACTATGGGAAGGCGACCGGGAAGAGGTCTGGTAGATATGGACCTATTTGAGTCTTAATACACATGTGCATGGAAGCAATGCTAGGAATCTCTCTAAATAGCTATCCTTACCTCAAACTAGCAAAAACCCTATGTCTTTCTTATTATTGCTTATGTTTTCTCTTCGACAAAATTGAAGAAGAGAGCAGAACATGTGGGTGGGGAGAAGAGGGAGAGGGTGGGCAGCAAGGGGGAGAAATGGCCCAGCTGTATGCACATATGAATAAATGAATAAAAAAAGGTAGTTAGTATTAAGGTTAGAATTTCAACATAGATCAATTTTGGTAGAAATCTTGCTTTCTTTCTATATTATTTGCCCTCCAAGTTTGGCATTTTTATCAATGGAATTTATAGCATTTTGTGCAAGTGAGGTTGGCAATAAATGAAAAGATTTCAAATTTATATGGATGCATTATCAATTACTATGAAGATGGTGAATCCCAACATCACCTCTGGGAGTCTTAAAAATATAGAAGGAAACATACTTTACAACAAATGACATTTAATAAGGTGAGAAATCCCTAACTGGAGGCTGAATTATGTATGGGACATTTATAATGGGAAAACTGGGGAAAAAGACAGAAACAGCAGTGAGACGATACATTAAAAAATTGAAAGCCTGGTCTCACTTTCCCTCATATTAAAATAATATATGTCCTTAATATATATTATTATTCCCAAAGCCATGCCAGAATAAGACTAGCGTAAGCTTTTGTTCCTCTGTTTCCCTCTCTCTCCAAAGCTGATTAAGATCCAGAACATGTTTTGTCCTAAAGAATTTAAAAATATATGGCTGACCATGGGATATGGATGGAGGGGCAAAAATAAAGAGGAATAACGTGGGTTTCCTGTTGCCTAGTTCTGTCATTGTGGGTTAAACTGTATCTTCCCCCAAAAATATATAAGTGCTAACCCGTTGTACCTGTAAATGTGACATCATTTCAAAATATGTCTTTTCAGAGACAATCAAGTTAAGCTGAGTTCATGATGGACTCTGGTGGGTCCTAAATCTATTCACTGGTGCTGCTGTAGGAAGTTCACATAGCAAGAAAGGATTTTAGACAGGTGCACATGAGTGGGCCTTCATGCTGGGGACTGAGAAGAGGAAAGGCACAGGAAACAGTGAGACAACATATTTAGAAAAAAATTTAAATTCTACTCTCGCCTTCCACCATATTAAGCCAATATATGCCCTTAATATATGACATACAAGACTGAGATATTCTGCTAGAAAACAGCAGAAGAGATGAAGGAGAAGTGATAGAGGAAAAAATGACAGAGAATGAAAAATAAAAGTTAAATGATATGTAGAAAAATCACGTAAATACCAACAGTGAAGTAACAAGAAGTCCAGAGGGAGAGAAAAAATAAAATGGGCAGCAGGAAATACTGGAAAAAAGGAGAACCATTTCTCAGAATTAAAGTGTAATAGAACAAATAGATGAAAAGTGTTCACAAAAGACCAAAAAGGATAAAAATCAGTTACGTGCATTATAGTGAAAAATGATAACCTCCGAAACATCTAAAAGTTTTCAAAAAAGAGCATGTAACATAGAAAGGAGGAAGAATTGATTTGCTTTCAGCTTTTGATAGCTTTTATCCGAAAAGAATTGTATATTTTGTCTAAATTTCAAACTCGTCGGGGTCTGAAGAACAACATGTCGGAAAGAATGAAAACAGTCCAGTGAAGGTGAAGGGATAAAAATGCATGCAAAAGCTAGCAACATTCCACACATACTCTTGAACATGAGTTAAGTGAGAAGCATATCAATATTGCTGAGCACTGAAAGTTAACACCAGATTTACAAATGTAATTAATTAGCAAGTTTACAGAAAATGAGGAAATGTAGGTCTGCAGTTGCTCATGACATAATCACAATCCAAGCTTTGAAATATAGTATCTAGTGTTCAGAGGACCATCGAAAAATTTTAAGAGCCTGATAATGAATTTTTTAATTTGGAAGAAATCATAGAAAAAGTTCATGGTATCCTGCTACCATATTTATGTAAAATATACACTAAATCAAATGACATAATCTATCATGTACTAAAACAAAAAATTAAAAATGATGTTTTATTAAAATTAAATCATTTTGCACAAGGTTTATAAAAGCTAATTATTTCTTAATTATTTTGAAAACAATCCCTAGTGCAAGCAGATAACAATTACTGGTGTTATTATGTATTCCCATAATGCAAATATTTCTACATGTGAACATTTTTTAGGAAGTTTGCCAGTAGAGGACTCTGCAGGTAAAAGATCATACACTTAAGAGACTATTCACAAAACAATTTAAACATACACACACAGAGCCAATTGTACACAAATCAAATAATGCATCAGAAAACATATCATTCTCAAAAATGAAAATTTTAAGACTTTTTATGCATATACATTCTTCAAATTTTGTGACCAATACAGCAAAAATATCTTTTGGTGGCACTGGAAAGTTTTCCTTCAACTAAGGACTGTACATAATTTTTTGTTTCAATGAAAGACTACAGTTAGTTGAAAACACATTTTAAATCATAGTCAAATGAGTTTGAAAAGATCATTTGATTCTAATGTCACTGAAATTTATTTTAAGGAAAAACATGATGCTCCTTTGGGAACTGTTGGTGAAATAGTAAATATGTACATTATGAAAATTAGATGTTACCACGAGGTGCACAGCTGTAATCCCAGCACTGGGGAGGTAGAGGCAGAAAGATTGGGAGTTTGAGGCTAGCTTGGTCTACATAGCTAGACCCTGTGTTATTTCTGAATCCCCACAGAAATTACTTAAACCAAATGCCTCATTGCAAATTATATTGTTTAATCATGACTTATTATTTTAAGTAAAATCAATGTTAAGAAAAATGATGCCAGAGTCTTTGCTCCTGTTTCCTGCATGGGGAGCAGGAAATTTTTCTCTCTTTTCTCTCTGCCCCCACCTTATCTATACTTTATCCTGTTACACCAAAATAAATCCTTGCTAAAACTTTAAAAAAGAAAAAGAAAAATGATGGCAAAACTACAATGAAACTTACAAAGTTGAAATGCATCAAAAGCAGATCCAGGGAACTATAAATATTGCATTGAAGCATCTAGTTAGAAGACAGGACACACATATAAGACAATGTCATGTGATACAGGAGATGTTGGAGTGATGAGTGTGCAAGCCAAGGACACTAAGGCTGCCAGCATCCACCAGGAGCTGGGAGAAGAGTCCACATTCTCCCTAGAGCCTCCAGGAGGCCCCAACCCAGAGCTGTGAAATAAATTTCTCTTTCAAGCCACCAAGTTTGCCCTACTTTTGTTTCTGTAAACTATGAAACACATACGCATGTGGATGGAAATAATCCAATGGAGAACAAAACGTTTCACTGTCAGAGATTAAATTACTGGGATAATAGCCTTGAGTAAGCAAGAAAGGATTTTTAAAACAAATGCAGCAACTTGCTTCAAATAGATACAAAACGTTTACTTATGGGGACTTGACAGAAAGGGGAGCCGAGATTGTACATCAAGAAACCAGTAGGAAAAGAATACAACACTCACGTGCCACGCACTCCCCACAAATACCCTAACAAATGTACCCAAATGCCCACAAAAGCACACAAATAATGGACTCATGGGAAAGGTACTATGATATTTCTTGATAATAAGAAAATGCTGAAGGATTTTACGGATTTGCTGCTTTCATCCACTTTAGCCCAGGGACGGTAGCCACAACCTCAGAATGCCTAGGGAGTCAGAGACTCAGGGCGCCCAGGCTGCAGATGGCAAAACCGCAAAAACAGAGAAACTGCTGAAACCGCCGAAACCGCCAACCGGGCGGCACTGGAGGTGCAGGGCAAGTCCACCAAGACCAGTAGGTGTCCCACAATGGAAGAGGTAAGGCGGCAACAGATGTGGGGTCTCCGAGAGAAAGACAACGTAAAATGGCTGAGAGGACGCCAAAGGAGAGCTGTGCCCTGAAGCAGTCTTACAATATTATGACTGCAAAGTCATGATTATGACTTCGCAAGATGTTCCAAACTATCAGGTGTATCAACTTAGCGGTGGAGTGGATTTTGGGGACAAAGGAAGGATTTTGTGTATGTGTAACAGAAAGTAAAGTATTGACAATCCAACTCAGATTAATACTTTTAGGTTATAAAGTCTAACGAACCAACAGTGTCACTAGCATGAATTGTGAGCTGAGTATTAGCTGATGGATGAATAAACAGCTAAATATATGAATGGTGTGTATTGAGGATATTATAAAAAGTAAAATTAAAGCTATAGAATCTATGATCCCTTTGAAAAAGGGATTAAGAAATAGTAGCCATGGGTAAAGGTATCCTTTTGACCCAAATCAGCTCTTTTCAGAATGCCTGTGCCTTTGCTTGTATAAAAATATGGATAATTGACACTCTATACATTTAGCATGTGATATAAATATTATAGGGAACACTTTGAAACAACATTATTTATTTTATAGGTCAAAAAAGAAATAATTGCTATGGAGGACCATGATGACTTAATGCTGTCATCTGAAATAAGCTCAGAGAACTGTGAGGTGACTGATGCTGACTATGAGACTATTTTGGTTCTATTAGAGAAACTTGGGATGGAGTGTAAAGGTAAGACTGTTGCATAAGGCTTTTTAGATATATTATAGAAATGTGTGCACATATTTCCTCACTGCACCATATAATATTGATGTGTTATAGTACTGTTCACACAGGTATGTGCTTTATATTAAAGTAGAATACAAGGGAGACCTGGGGATGTAGTTCAGTGGTGAAGTGCTTGCCTAGCATCTGCTAGAAAGCCCTAGGTTTGTCCCCAGCATTACAAAAACAAAGAATGCTAAAAAAACACCTATTGTTTCCAGCCAAAGAGAAATTTTAATTCCCATTGCACTTTTCTCAGTGTGAGTGAAACTCCCAGGATTTTTGTTGACTCTGCTTCTCGCACTCTTCTTTACCATGATCAGGTCAGTTTCTATCATTTTTACCTAGAATCCTGTAGTAACCTTAAAACTCTTTCCCCTTCTACCTCTCCTCCTGAAATCATGATCTACCCTGCAACTATAATTATAAATTTTTTAAATTTCATATATGATCATGCTAACCCATTGATTAAAAACCAGCTATCCTTTCTCATCGCTATAAGTTTAAAGATGTCACTCCTCCAGCTTTATCCTCCATCTCTGTGTCCCAGCCTCTGTCTTATGTGTGTTCTTGCAACCTAGCTTTTTGTTTTCAGTAGCTTTACTGAGGTATAAGTGATATATAATAAACTGCAACTGTATTAAGTGAGCAATTTGATAACCTTCAACATGGGTCAAACATATATTTAATCACCATAATGAAAATGGTTAACAAATCCACCAGCCTTTGTGGATGTATTCCCTTGTGAATGGACTGAGAACTTTTCCAAACAATGTGTAAAATTTTACATTCCCATCAGCAGTATACAGGAGTTCCAATTCCCCACTATCTTTACAAACACATAGTATCCTCAGCTTTTTAAATAGTCTTTCTAATGGGTGTGCATTGTGCACATAAATATGGTTTTAATATGCAATATATTGATCCCTAGTATTATTGAGCATATTTCTATGTGCTTATTTTCCATTGTATATCTTCTTTGGTGAACTGTTTTTGCAAATCCTCTGGCATTTAAGAATTAGATTGTTTATGATTTGTTGGGCTTTAAGACACCTGGATACCATTTCTTTTTTTTTTTTTTTTTTTTTAGGGTGACAGCATCTACTTTATTTGTTTTTTTTTTTTTCATTTTTCTTTTATTATTCATATGTGCATACAAGGCTTGGTTCATTTCTCCCCCTTGCCCCACCCCTCCCTTACCACCCACTCCACCCCTCCCGCTCCCCCCCTCAATACCCGCAGAAACTATTTTGCCCTTATCTCTAATTTTGTTGTAGAGAGAGTATAAGCAATAATAGGAAGGAACAAGGGATTTTGCTGGTTGAGATAAGGATAGCTATACAGGGCATTGACTCACATTGATTTCCTGTGCGTGGGTGTTACCTTCTAGGTTAATTCTTTTTGATCTAACCTTTTCTCTAGTTCCTGGTCCCCTTTTCCTATTGGCCTCAGCTGGATACCATTTCTTTATCAGCAATATTCTTGCAGACATTTTCCCCCAGTTTGTGAATTGATTATTTTTGGCACTATGGAATATGAACTTACAGCTTCAATGCTTGATGGCATGCATTCTACCACTTGAGCCACACCCTGGCCCTTGATTATCTTTATCTTTCTTTCATCAATTTTTGTTCCCTGTGTCAGGGATTGAACTCAGGGTATTATGCATGCTAGGCAAGCATGCTTCCATTGAGCTACATCTATAGCTTTCATTATATCTTATGAAAAAGAGTTTCAGATTTTAATGAAGTCCAATTTATATATTTGTTCAATTATAATTTTTGATTTTTGTATCATATGTATGAAATCTTCACCTAACACAAGTTTAGAAGATTTTTTCCTATGCTTTCTCCAAGAAGTTTTATAGATTCAGACTATAAGTTTGGATATAGGATCTATTTTGAGTTCATTTTTGTGTTGGGATGATATATGGATCCAAGTTCATTTTGTAGATATGATCCAGCTGTGGCAGCACAATAAAATGAAAAAGCTATCCATTTTTCACTGCACTGACCTCATGACTTCATCAAAAATATTTTGACTATTCATGTATTGGGTGTATTTCTGCATTTTCTGTTGTATTCTATTGACTGATTTATCTTTCATTTTACCAATACCATGATGTTTTAAGTAGCATAGGTTTATAATACTTCAAATAAACCCATTATCCATACCATTTTGTTCTTTTCCAGTGGTTATTTAAGGGTTCTAGATCCTTTATTTCCATAGTTTTTTGTTCGTTTGATTGTTTTTGTTTTTTTCTGTGGTGCTGAGGATTGAACTCAGGCCTTTTTCATGCTCCTCAAGTGCTCTTTCACTGAGGGCAATTCCCAAACCATCATATGAATTTTAGAATCACCTTGTCAATTAAAAATGGAAAACCTGCTGTCCCCTAGAGAATTACATTGAGAAGAATTAACATCTTAATAATAACTTTTGGAGCTCCTGAACAATGTGTATACCTGTGTTTACATATGTTGCATTTAATTTTGTCAAGAATATTTCATAGTTTATAGTGTTTTTTGTAGTTCTGGGGATTGAACCCAGGGTGCTGCTCATGCAAGGCAAGCACTCAACCATGGAGCAGCATCCTGAGTCCTAGTTTTTATTGTTTTAAACTTTCCCTATTTTATTAAATTTATTTTAAAGATATTTTGATAAAGTAGTAGGTTTTTCTTTTTAAAAATATGTTTTATTTTTAATTGACACACAGTAATTGAACATATTTATGGAGTACACTGTTATGCTTCATCACATATATACAATATGCAAAGTTTAGGTCAGAGTTACTGTATGTCTGTCACTTCAGACATTAATCAATAATTTGTTTTGGGAAACTTCCAATTCCACTAGCTATTTTGAAATATTGAATTAATTATTATCACTTACTATCTTTGCTATGGAATATTAGACATTATCCTTCTGATCCAACTGCCACCCTGTATCATTTGTCATCCTCTCTCCATCCCCTCTTCCACACCTCTCTTGGAACCACTGTTATGTTCTTTACTTGCATGAGGTTTTTTTTGCATGAAAGCTGGATAGAGGTTTATCATTTCTGTGGAGGTTCTCTAAGTGTTTGATTTCAGTATCTTTCTCTGTTTTCTACTTAATTGATTCTACCTTTGGTAGTATGTTTGGATACATGCTAACAAATACCATAATCTAGCTCATAAATAGCATAATTTTTCCTCCAAAGCCTAGAGACCAGGAAGTCCAAATGAAGATGTAATGTCTGGTTAGGGTCTGCTTCCTGGTCAATTTCTTGTTGCCTCACATGACAGAAATAGTTAATGAGTTCTGTAGGGTCTTTGTTTTCTTTCAGTCATTAATCATATTTATTAATTGTCACATTGTAAATATTTTCAAATAATTTCCAATACTACATTTATATGTTTTCAAATAATTTCCAATACCATGTTTAACAAATGGGTCCATTTTAAGAGCACTGGTATGGATCTAATCTCTTTACCTAATCACTTTCTAAAGGCCCCACCTTTTAATACCATCGGTTCTGTGATTAGATTTCAGCATATGAATTTTTCAGGAACACAAACATTTGGATTATAAAAATGTTTATTACATCCTTGATCTGTTATGTTTGGGTTTAACTTGGTCTTTTCTATTTTGTTTTTCATTCGATTTTTTAATTAGCATACAATAAGAACACAAGGAAGTTTCATTGTGGTAATTCCATATATGTGTAAAGTGTACTTTGAACAAGTTCACTCTAACCATTATATTTCTATACCCGGTTCTCTCCTCCCACCCTTTCAAAATAGTGTGTGGTGGGTTTGATTATGCTGTCTTCATAAGTCTATATGTAATGCAGTTCAATCTTCTTCACCACTCACTATTCTGTTCTTTCCCTCTCTGTCTTCCTACTGATTCCTCCACAGATAGTCCCTCTTTTCTATTCATGTCACATTAATCTTATCATTGTAATCACCATTATCATTTTGGGTCTAGACTACTTAAATGAGCAGAAGTGTGTGGCATTTGGCTTTTTGAACTTGGCTTATCTCACTTAATATGATTATCTCCACTTCCATCCATTTTCTGCATACTTTTCTTAGCCATCCATTGGTTTTTGGGGACCTCAACTGATTGCCCAGTTGGATTTTGTGAACATAGCTACAATACCAAGAGCATGAAAGTATCTGTCCTGTATTTATACTTCTTTGGATATATGCCCTAGAATAGTAGGTTCTTGATTCTGTTTATGTGGTGTATTATATTTTTTAAAGTTTATGAGTGTTAAACCATCCTCAATTCCATGGAATAACACTAATCATGGTGTGTGATCTTTTATGATCTTGTCTTTTAACCTAATGATTATGTTGTTTTATGATCTTACTGTTCAGTTTGGTTTGCAAGTATTTTATTGAGAATTTTTACATCTATGTTTGTCAAAGAGATTGATCTATAATTATCTTTTATTGTTGTGTTCTTTTCCTGTTTTGGAGTCAGTATAATATTTGCTTCATAAAATGAGTTTGATAGCATTCCTTCACGTTATTTCATGGGAAAATTTGAGAAATATTGGAATTATTTTTTCTTCAAAGTTCTGGTAGGATTCCCCAACAAAACAACCAGAGCATGGGCTTTTCTATGTTGGCAGCCTATTGTGGTTTCAATCTTATTGTTTGTTATACATCTATTTAAATGGTTTGTATCCTCTTGGCTCAGTTTTGGTAGGTCAAATGCATTTAGAAATTTATTCTTTTCTTTTTCATTTTCTAGTTTATTTTAATATAGGTTTTCAAAGTATTCCCAAACAATTCTGTCATTTCATTGGTATTTTTTATAATATCACTTCTTTGTCTGTAATTTTATGAATTTGCATCTTTCACACCTTCTTTTAGTCATATTGGCTAAGGTCTTATTAATCTTATTTATTGTTTCAAAAAACCAACTTTTTTCAATGATTCTTTGTATATTTTTAGTTTCTATTTCATCAATTTATG